GTGGATTGCGTGGCAGCGAAGATGAAAAGAGAGAATTAAAGTAAGTATAAAGTGAATTTTGACGAAATGTAAGCGTGAACGCGTCGCGGCCCGACGGATTAAATTCTATTCTACATTTATTTTTTATTTCTTATAACTAGTTACAAGAGTGCGGTTTTCTGTGGTCGGTGATGTCTCGGTGATGCTGGGCAGCAACACGAGCTTGGTGAGTGGTCGGATGAGCTCTGTGGTGGGTGTCCGGATGGTCACCACGCGCACGATGTCGTCGTCTCCGGGGTGCAGCTTGATGATGCGGGCGAGGGGCCATCGGCTTGGCGGGGTTGTCTCGGAGCGGAGTAAGCACAGCGTGCCAATGTTGGGAGCCGCCTCGGGTTCCAGCCACTTTGGTCGAGAGGTAAGTCCGTGCAGGTATTCTCGGGACCATCTTTGCCAGAAATGGTCCCTCAATTTTTGCACCAGTTGCCATCGCGATATGTGCGTGTCCCTTTGTTCAGTCCGCGATGGCTCCGGTGCGGCGAGAAGCGGGGTGCCGATGAGGAAGTGTCCGGGTGTCAGTGCGGTGAATTCGTCGGGGTCGTCGGATAAAGCGTGGAGAGGCCTTGAATTTAGGCAGGCCTCCACTTGTGTGAGGAAGGTGCTGAACTCCTCAAATGTTAAGGTAGCTTCCCCGATGACTCGCCTTAGGTGGTGTTTAGTGGATTTGACAGCCGCCTCCCAGAGCCCCCCGAAGTGCGGCGCGGCGGGTGGGTTAAAGTGCCATCGCACTCCCTGTAAGCTTGTGATGTGCGCGATGCGACGGCCGTCGGACGATGATGCCTGGAAGAGTTTTCTCAATTCGTGGTCTGCTCCAATGATGTTGGTGCCGCAATCAGAGTATAAGTCCGTGCACAAGCCGCGCCGTGAAGTGAATTGGCGGAAGGCGGCTAAGAAGGCCTCGGTTGTATAGTCCAAGGCCAACTCTAAGTGCACGGCTCGCGTACAAAGGCACACGAAAACGGAGATGAAACCTTTGTACGCTCGATGTCCTCCCGGCGATTTCGGTGGCGTAGTGTATTGACTGCACCACGCTGAGCCATCGATGCAGTGCTTCATCGAGCTCGGCCGGTTCGAGAACCGGCTTTGGTGTAGCGTCGCCTGGAATTTGTTCGTGAGCGGCTGAGCGTCGCCATCGAAGGCACCATGCTGTCACCCTGAGCAGCCGTTGCGGTAGAGGTCGCCGAATCGAGAGTCCCGGCTGCTTTTCCGCTCCATTGTGGTCAGCAGTCTCTCGGCTGGCTTGCGTGTTTCGTGGAGGTTGCTTGGGGTAGTGGCGAACGGCAGCCGAACGACGTACCGTCCATCACTCGTGCGTGTGTGCGTTTGCGCGAAGAAATTTGCACTCGGCGACTCTTTCGACTCTACCTTCTATGTACAGAAAACTATCGCACGGAAATGTGTACAGATCTTGCTGTTGTATAGGAATTCGTATCTCGTCGCTATTCCCAAACGTAGTATTAGCGTAAGGATTGTATGTGTGAGTTTCAATCTTGACGATACGATTGTCGAAGATCGGCTCCCCGCCGATACTTAGAATGTCGCACATTTCACTTTTACGGAGAAACGGTTCTTGGTACGACGAAACCCAAAGAGCGCAGGAAAGCCGCGTTAGCGGTGGTTAACCTTCCTCCCTTTTTCTTTCTCTTTTTCGCGTCTAAATCTCGCTTCTCATAGTGTTATCATTACCGCGAAGCGTTATAGAATTTTCACTCTTATCACCGTTGTTATCGTCTTAGAAATAATCGTCGTCGACACTGTATATATAATCGTCATCGCTCGTTTCCAATTCCTCGTTTTCGCGCTCTCGTCTCTTCTCTCTCACTCGTCGTTTGCGATGAATCGCGGCTCTTAGATACGCGCTTATAGCGCTTAACTCGTTAGATCCCACTGGAATCGCGATAACCTGGTCGTTGTCGTCAAAGTAAAATTTATTATTCGTGGAATTTAGATTCGGTATCGTGTTATAAGTCTCGAAATTTGTTAAACCTAACTCGTAATCATCGTCGAAACATCGTGAAGCGAGGAAGGATTTAAGGCGGGAGGAGGCACGAACCAAGCATCCATCTCTTCCGTGGCAGCGGCACTTTAAATCCATAGGCGGAAAGTAACTCGCCGCGAGAATGCTGCTTCATCCGGAAAGAGTAAGAGTTATCGACATGATTGACGAGAGTAATCGAACTGCACTCGATCGACGAGCGACGGTCGATATTATAGCGCGCGATTCCTCCAATCGACCCCCCGGAGAAATCGAAGACTCAATTGTCCACAGATATTCTGATCGCGCATTTGCTCGGAGCGACAATTGTATCGAATATTAGCATCGCGCCCGAGATAACGCGCGAGTTCGCGCGGAAGACGAAGATTGCCGAAACCGTCGTAATAGATCGCGTCGCCCCCTTTTTTCGCATATGCCACCCAATGAGTACCCGGGCCGGATGCGTCGTCTAAATTCACGATGCCGCTCTCATCGCGGCGCGCCCGCGATGGAAGCGCGTCGCGCATAAACACGCCTCTAAAGTGAGGCACGCGCGAGAATATCGCCGCGCGATTTAATTGTTCATTCGTCGTTACTCCGACGGATGGGAGAATTCCTAGCGTCTGTTTACGCGAAGTTTTTTTTTAGCT